CAGGGATAACTTGTGATCGTTTGTCATCCCCATAATGACTTAGGAATATAAGAGCTCTACTAGGGTAGTCAAAAGAGGATTAGCCTTGATCAGGTGGCACCCCACAGTCGTGATTATAGATGAGTAAGTGTGTGATTCAGACTGGAATCCAACACTCTTTCCCAGTAGGTGCAGTGACTTTGCCTGGGTGGTAGTCGAGGTGGGGGGTTTGGGAGAGGTGAGGCAGCGCAGTGTCACAGGAAGAACAGGCCTAGGGGCCGAGTCCTCAGTGAGCCTTTGACTCATTTGGGCACATAAGTTCACCACATGGGAGTAACCTTGGCTCTCCCTTCCTCCGGAATCTAGTGGAATATTCGTACATAAACTCACAATGACTGGTATAAAGATGCTACCAGAATAGAAGTTGTGATTTATGGTTTCTGCTAAGCCTAAACTTTACAGAGTGCTTTGTTATCGGGAAAGTGGCAAGAAATTCTGTTATTAAAATTGTAACAGAATCAGTTTCTTGATTGCACCAAGAATCAAGCTGGAACTGAAACAGAGAACTCTCAGATTGTGTGCAGAGAAAGGTAATTTTTTTTTCATAGGTTAGGTAATTTTTTTAGTTTTCTTTATCTTGCCAAGTGATGAGAACAGTGCAATCCCTAGGGGAGCTCTTGGGGTCATGTTACCCCTGACTTTTCAGTGACGGTTGGAATCACTGTGGATGACTAACAGAGCGCCAGGATTCCAACCCTTTATATCTGACACAAGGACCATTCACAATGGACACAAAGGCCACTATCACATTTTCCCTGGAGGAGGGTGGTGACAAAATGAGGGGTGTGCCCATGTGTGATGTGCTGAGGAGGCGGACAGCAGCTTGCAGATGAGCAGGTTTATTCCATAAGAACTTAGTCTCATTCTGCCTTCTAATGGAGCTAGGCTAAAAAAAGGTCCCCTCTCATTGGGTATGGACCGAATCCTGCTAAAGGGTTAACCAGAACTTGTCACCAGCGAGACGACTGTGTGCAGGGCCAGCCTACGCTAAGTGCAGCCCACCTGTGATGGGGAACAGGCTCTGCTAGGGCAGGTTTCTTTGGCTGGAGTCTGAAAACCTGGCACTTGTATCCTGAAGATGAATGACCTGGCCCAGTCCCGACTAGAGATGTGCATCTCTTATCTCCACTGCTACAGTGTAGGTCTAGGGCGGGGCTCTGGGCACTTCTGCATGCTTGCTGTAGCACTGTGAGGGCTGGCAGATGGCTGGTGTGTCTAATGGAGCTAGCTTAGGGACATAGGCAGCAAAAGCATTGCAAATACATCCAGGCAGGAGAAACTTAACATTAAAAGTGGGCAGGAGAATGGAAGGTAAATGGGTGTTCATATTTGATGTCAAAATATTATCATGTTTTGCTATTCAGAAGTGTTTAGAGAGATTTTAGTTTTTTTGGTAACTTAATCATTAATAGAGTATGAAATTCCAACTAAATGGTGTCTAAAATTTTAAGCAGCAGTGTACAGGCAAAGCGCCAACATTTCTTTTTAAAAAAAATATATTTATAACATCTGGCATTTTAAAATCAACCAGAAACTAGGCTTGATTCTGTTTAATATTTTCTAAGATTGGACATCTTAAAATAAGTCAATAATGTTTATAGCAATTCTGTGTTTCTTCAAAACCATATTTCTGCTGTGATGTTAATGGAATGACTTTATATGGCTTTAATTGTGTTGGTTTAAGTGCTAATGACCACTTTTCAAATTAAAATAGTATTTTGCTGATAGAGATAGACACAGATATGAAATATGAAAGAATAGATAATTTTACCGATTGTAAAGTGTCTATCTCAAGAAAAAAATGTTCTTTTTTTTTTTTTAGGGCTGTGGAAAAGTAATTTTTTCAAGAGTCTAAGATAGTTTTCTGTATTTCTGGAGATTGGAACTTGTGCCTATGGAATTTTGGGAGCAGCCTAAGCGCTACCTTTTAGCTTGATATGTGTGCTAGAAAAACTTCATTACCATGTTTTGTGATATGTAATAAATTCAGGGTGCTGTGCTTAAGCTTCATGTCAACTCTAGTTTGGGAACATCTGTTTCCCTCACTCCCAGTCTTGGGGGACAGCCTGACCTAGCCCTACCCAGATCACATGTGAAAGAGTAGAGTCAGTCTCTGACTCTGGCGAAGTGTGTTTGCCTGCCTGAAGCAAGCAGAATATAATCATGATTTCTGATTCTCTGCTTCTGTGTCTGGGAAGAGCGATGCTTTCTCTCCTCCTCTAATGTCTCTTTATAAGTATGTTGTCATTATTTGTCTTTGGAAGTGGCAACTTGGGCCACCTTTCAATCTTCTCCATGATTTATGTTGCAAACAAATTCTCTGTTCCATGTCTGTTCATTGCACTATCTTGTTGACTGAATCCTAATCTCGTGTATCACTGAAGATGTGCTGGAGACAGTTTTTGTTTCTATTATGCAATTATGTTATATGTGTATTTCAGTGAAATGTCAACCCATCAACAGAGGATGATGTTAAAAATTATCCAAATAAATAGTTTTCTATTTCTTTTAATCAGACCTAGTCCAATCAGTTGAATGACAGTAAATAGGATTATATGTTATTTAAACTTGGGAGCATTCCTGGCCCCTACTGCCTTGTAATATGGATTAATGTACCAAATTTATGTGGGGGTGTCAACTTGAGTGCATTATAACCTATGTTTATTTTGTGGAAGCAGCAGCAGGCGTCTCAAACCTTATCTTTTTGTTTGGGAGCCTCAGATATGTTACAGACTTTTCTTCCTCGTAGATCCAAAATCATAAGTAAAGCCCTTGCTTAATTCATCATCCCTTGACAGTTTACTCTAGGAAGCTCTGAATGAATGAATTGCAGGCTGTTTAACACTGCTGGGTGTGACCTTTCTTCACATTCCTGCAGCTTTGCTATGTAAGAGCTTTTACCAACATAACACGACAGTTGCCTTCTTGATGTTTCCATGAGAATGGCAGGTGGGTCCACCTTAGAACCAAATGACTTCCCAGTCTCAGATAAGAAAACTTGGGGATTCTGAGAGAGGGAGTGTGTGTGCGTGCGTGTGTGTGTGTGTGTGTGTGTGTGTATGCAGGTGTATGCACAAGCATACCTACATGTGCATGTGTGTATATACATGCATCCTGAGCCTGTGATCACAGGGACAGGAGAATGAGAAGCAGGCTAACTGACCACCCCAAGAGCTGTCTTGGTTTGACCCGGGACATGACTGTCTGTCTCCTATAAAATTCCAGCATTCCTAGCCAGGAAGCGTAAAGCTTTCTTTCCAGGCTCTTCCTTCACCCTCAGAATTCACTAAATGGAAAGATCTGCGGCTCGCTCTTCACAGAATGGTTCAAATCAAACCCAGCCTGGCGCCATTTTTAGCAGAATTGTCTCAAAGACTGGGTGGGTGCTTTTATGCACAAGGCTGTTTTTATAAGGGCCTCTTGGGAAGTTCCTGTGTGACTTTACATTCTAAATTAACACCACCGGCACTGGCATTGGCAACTGCATGGGACCAGTTTTGAGCATCCACAGACAGTGGGACCCAGGCCTGATGTATCTGGCCAGACTGCAGCCTCCATTCCCTCCTCCTCCCTAGCCACTGCTGGGCATCTCTTCTACCACGTGCATGTCTCAGGGATGGTCATCATGCCTCTCTGTCCCTGACACAGCTGCCTACATGCTACCAGGTGTTGTGGAGGAAGGACGGGGAAGCCATCTCCTCCCCTGAGGACCCGTCACTTAGCCCAGTTTTCCTTTGCAAACCACCCTGAGGTTGAAGCATTTGCCTCACGGCCAATGTCTATATGTCCTCCAGGACTTTATGGTTATGGAGCTGTGGGCAGACTGCTGATGAGTGAGGAGGGGCTGCCTGGATACAGGACCCTAGACCCAAGGCAGAGAGGACATGCCTCCTTCAGACGCAGGTCTTTCTGTGGAGGAGGATAAAGTTGCCATATAGTCCCTATTAGTCTTTAACTCAGCATACTGTTTTTCTTCAAATTGGTGGTCAAAACATCATAATTCTCTCAGAGCCGGAGCAGTACCATCTCCCATGTCCCATGCATAAGCATCCTGAAATGCTTCCCTAATGAAGTCGTGAATGATGGAAGGGCTTCTCCTGGGACCTGTCCCAACAGAGAAGGGACCAGAGTGAGGAAGGCAGCTGTGGGGGCCCCAGGGGAGATGCAGAGTATCTGTGAGGGGTCCAGAAGGGTCTCCCGGTAGGGTCTTCCAGTGGGTCTTGCACTGCCTCCAAAGGCTGATGAGCCACTTTCAATTTGTTGTGGTCTTCAAAAAGCAGACCCCGTCACCCCATATTGGTGAGTTCTCAGCCTGCACACAGGCCACAGGCAAGGGTATCCCGATGACCATGGTGGCTGGGTCTGTGTGTGTGTCAGTCTTCTCTGTCATGGTCTGAGTGTGCTGGTGGTTGCAGTATGTTGTGTCACTCACTTGTTCATGGCGTTTTAGCAGAACCAGTGGCCTGAGGGCTGCTTGGTCTGCTTGTGCCTCTGGCGTCTACCCCTAGGCTTCCTCATCCTAGATGCAGCAAGGGAGTCCACATCACCCTCCCTTTAGAACGGCCAGGCTGTGTTCCTTGCCCTCCTCTGGGCTTGAAGAGATAGTGCTCTTGTGGGCGAGCCTACTGAAGACTGTCATTGAGACAGGGGCATAAGCTCTTGGCCTGGTAGACCCTAGCCCTAGTAACCAGGTGGTGTTCCCTGGAAGTGGGGTTATTTGCAAAGGAGGTTACTGGTTTGCAGGCCTCAGGCATCCTACCTAGGACCGTCTTGACCATCCGGATGCCTGACCATACCAACAACCTTTAGACTGCCTTCAGTGACATCAGTCAGTGCCCTGGATTAGCTTTTGGAGAAGCCTTATTCCCCTCTGCTGAATCAGGCAGGAGCAAAGCCAGGACCCAGGCTGGCCCCAGGGCCCACATGTTGTCTAACCTGTTCTGCCATTTTCATTGATCTAGGCGGGATTAAGGACACTGCATGACATTGGGCCAGAAATCCGGCGTGCTATATCGTGTGATTTGCAAGATGACGAGCCTGAGGAAACAAAACGAGAAGAAGATGATGATGTATTCAAAGTAATTATTCCACGCCTAGCTACACACTGGCCACCTGGAAATAGCAGGGCAGGACTCCAGTTTGGGCAGTTAATGATCCACAGAAGAGTCTGGAGAATGCAGCCCAGCCCCCGGGTCTAGAGGGGCTTTCAGACCACACCCGCCTCCTACAGACCCTCCCCATGCATCAGCATCTCTTCTAGGGCCAGGCCAGCTTCTTCCCTGAGCTGACCTACCTTCCCCTCATTGTCTGCTTCTGAGGAGCTCGGCCACAGCCACTGGCCATGTGGATGAGCATCCTGGGTCCTTCGGGAAGCTGCCCATGCTACCCTCCTCCTTCCCGGGCCAGTTCTTTGATCTACCAGCCGGCCCTCAGCCCCCCAGCCCAGACAGCATGCCCACCAGCCAGCCCAGATGGGTATGTCACCCCAACTTGGAGCAACTGGAAGAGCACACTTGAGTGACAGCCGACAGCTTGTTCCCCCGCTCAGGAAATCGGTAACCTTCCTCATCTCGGGGGAACCAACTGCCACACAGTCACATTCACCCTGATCATTGAGACACTCAGATTGTTTTACAGGGATCCTATGGAACTTGCCTAGAATTTGTTTTTCATGTAGAAAAAGTTACCTAACATAGCTAGTCTGCATCAAATACTTGTTAAATTACCTGGTGTTGTCTCCCATTATTTTGCAGAGAAATGGTGCCCTGCTTGGAAACCATGTCAATCATGTTAATAGTGATAGGAGAGATTCCCTTCAGCAGACCAATACCACCCACCGTCCCCTGCATGTCCAAAGGCCTTCAATTCCACCTGCAAGTGATACTGAGAAACCGCTGTTTCCTCCAGCAGGAAATTCGGTGTGTCATAACCATCATAACCATAATTCCATAGGAAAGCAAGTTCCCACCTCAACAAATGCCAATCTCAATAATGCCAATATGTCCAAAGCTGCCCATGGAAAGCGGCCCAGCATTGGGAACCTTGAGCATGTGTCTGAAAATGGGCATCATTCTTCCCACAAGCATGACCGGGAGCCTCAAAGAAGGTCCAGTGTTAAAAGGTAACCTTGACGGTGTGTTTGCACTTGCTGATGTGGTGCCCTTGTTGCGTCTGGTTCCACAGAGCAAGGCGGGTCTGTCCTCCACGCTCTGGGGCATGGAAGAGGTTCCCCATAGGCATTTGTGTCAGGATCTGTGAGAGCCCTCCAGGACATTGCCACCTTGGACACTTTCCACGTGATGGACCTCAAGGATAAGGGCCACGTGCCATCTTACATCCTGTAAGGGGGGACGAGGGGCTTTAAAACACCAGCAGCCACAAAATCCACCCTCCCAATTGTGCTCACATACTCTGTGACAGGGGTTGGTGAATTTTTTTCTCTGAAGGGTCAGTGAGTCCATATTTTAGGCTTTGAGAACCACACAGTCTTACAACTTCTCAGCTCTGCCATTGCAGTGTGAAATATGTAAGTGAATGGGTGTGAGACTGTGTCCTGGTAAAATTTCCCCTGTGGTCACTGAAATTTGAACTTCATGTATGCATATGGTGAAATCTTTTTTGTCTTTGGATTTTGTTTATTTTTTCAATCCTTTATAAAAACCATTCCTAGCCCATGGGTCATAGAAGACCAGGTGGCAGCACATGTGTGCATGGTGAATCGTGATTTGCTAACCCCTGCTCTAGGAGGTAGCTTGATATTTGCATTGTAAATTTGGTTGGAAATTAACTTTTATCTTCTCCCTCCTTCCCATGTTATGCCTTTCCTGGATAGAACCCGCTATTATGAAACTTACATTAGGTATGTGTTCATTACCTATGTTTCTGTGTTAAATACTGTGATGGTATGTTACCAGTTGGCCTCTCTGAGTGCTGAGGAATGAGAAACATTTTTTTCCAGCCAGGCTATTAAAGGTTATCATGATTCATGGCTGGGGACTCAGAGGTCAGAAGTCGTCGTTTCTAAGCAAAGGCACCTTCAGATCCGTATCTGTGTTGACCCTGTTGCCATCCAAGGACTGGTGTCCACACACAAGGTGCACCCCATGGGCTGGATCCTGCAGGCCTCACGATGGCACTAGGAGCATGCAGTGTGCACTTACGTGGGCCCCAGCCTGTATGGCTGGAAGCTCTGGCTGCTCTCTGAGGTCAAGCTTCTCATGGGTGCTTTGCAGCATGACCCAAACCTCCTGAAGATCAGGAATGGGATCTTGTCATTTTCCCTGTAGCCCTTAAGATATGTGTAGTATTTTCCACTCCACACGTATTGACCTGAGTTGAATCATGGACAGAATGTTCATTTTGTTGTGGGTGGGGGGAGCACAGGTCTTCTGGTGTCGTGTTATCAAGAGAAGTCGGGAGCCATGTGGGCCCAAGCAGGGTGCGAGAAAGTGGAGAAGTCTGAGGAGGCACCATCCTTCCCTTGGAGTGAGGATCGATGTCACCAAGTCTTCTTCTGAGGACTGAAGCCAGGATGAGCCGGGTTTCAGGGAGACTTACCACAGTCCTGGGGCAGGGCAGCCTTTGGGAATGTGGTAGACATGTTCTGTGACGGTTTCCCCTGTGGCACTGTATCCAGAACTCGCTCGGCCTTCCTGATTTGATATAGCCAGGAGATCAGTGGCTGGGAAGCTCCTTTGTTCCAGGTTTTGAAGTCACACTGGGCTGGAGCTAGGGGGCTAGAAGGAGAGGAAGGGATCCGAGCAGATGCCCTGGAAGCCCGGAGTCGTCTTCCTGGGGCCACCAACCACTGTTTGCAGCACTCTAGGTCCATTTTGTTGTTGTTGTTGTTCTATTCTCCAAGTTGCGCCTATTCCTTTGACTCCAAGGCCTCTGGACACAATGGTTTGACACCAACATTGTGCAGGACACTGAGAGAGACCCCATCCTGGCATACACACCACAGAGACACACATGACGCCATTGCCAGAAGCCTGAACAGTCCAGTGCCACTTGAGTCCTGCTTGGGAGGAGTCAGGAGCACCCGGGCAGGGTCACCGGCCGCATGCACAGGTGTGGCTGCAGCAGGAATTATCTGCCGCCTGCCCAGGCTCTCAGATCGTCTCTTCTAACTGCAGGTCTGACTCAGGAGATGAGCAGCTCCCAACTATTTGCCGGGAAGATCCAGAGATACATGGCTACTTCAGGGACCCCCGCTGCTTGGGGGAGCAGGAGTATTTCAGTAGCGAGGAGTGCTACGAGGACGACAGCTCGCCCACCTGGAGCAGGTGAGCTGCTCTGGCTCCTGCAGAGAGCAGGAGGCCGCCCTGCCCTGGTGCTGTGCCTGCTCAGGAAGCCAAGGGCCACCAGCAGCTGCACTTGGGTTTCCCCAAAAAAGCAAAATGGGAGCAGAACCTCTGGGCCACAGGGAGAGCTGGAATTGGAGAGAGCCACAGAGAGGCAGGCTGGGCCTATTCTTTCAGACTTGTTGCCTTATTTCCACCGGGGACCTCTGAGGCTTTTTAGTGAAGGCTCGAGAAACAGGAGCTGGGCCTGCTTCATGGCTGGGTTAACGTCTTCCCGCCACCCCGTCTTTGGAGAGATCAGTTTTTGCTGAATTAACACTGGGAGCTTTGGCGGACCCCGGTCTCTGTGTGTACAGTGGCTTGGCCAGCCCGGAGCTTGGCCAGGGTCCTCATGCACAGCGCCTGTCTCCTGCCCCTTCAGGGGGTCTCTCCTGGAGATGAAGAAACAAGGGGTCACTCAGCAGAGGGGTCTCTCTGGCTTCTGTCCACCAACAAGAATGTTTGTGGTTAGAATGGGCACTCTGCTTTGGGAGGGGCAGCAGGTGGCACAGGCAGATGAAAATCACCTTCTGCTGTCTTCTTGGAACTGCACCTCACTGTGACTAGGGGCCCAGTGAAATGGAAGTGGAATGGCAGTGAGGTGGCATCTGGCATCTGAGCCACAGCCTGACCCTCACCCTCTGCTCCTGTGGCCCTTCCCCATGTCTCCTTCAAATGCCTGACTTCTGGAACCACTGACTCTGAGCCAAATGGATTTGTGTTCCCTTCTCTAGGGCTCTTGCTCACACTGTGGCCGCTGCTTGGATGCCCTCACTCCATCTGCTGGCCTCATCCCACCTCTGAAGGACCTCCTCTAGGACCTTTCATTTTATCTCCATGACTGGGATTGAAGTCTGCCCCCCACACACCCCAGAAAAGAAAACCTCACAGAACCACATGAGTGCCTCTCTTCCAGCATTGGCCCTTTCCAGCTTGCATTCGAGTTCTGTGTGCTCGTGGCATTTTCTAAGCCCACTGAGGGTGGGCTCATGCTTCGTGCATCCCTGGTGCCCAGCAGCTGGCAGAGGGCAGGCGCTCAGGAGAGAGGCTCTCACAGAGGGAATGAGTGGGTGAGAGCTTGGCTCACAGGACATCTGTGATCCATGTTTGCCCTGGAGCTGAGGGATGGAAACTCCCAGCACATCCCTCAGCATAGGCCTTCAGTCCCCAACCTTCCTGTAATGGCCCTTGCTTTCCACCTGGAATCTTCCATGAAACTGAGGTCAGCCTTGTTCTCAGCCAGTTCTACTGTGTCCAAGGGAGGAGGTGGGTGTGGCAGGGCTGAGTGAAGAGCTTGTTACCTAGAACTTTACTGCCCCATCTCTTTTCTGACTGCCAGGCAAAACTATGGCTACTACAGCAGATACCCAGGCCGAAACGTGGACTTTGAGAGGCTCCGAGGCTACCATCAACCCCAAGGTTTCTTGGAGGACGATGACTCGCCCATTTGCTATGATTCACGGAGATCTCCAAGGAGACGCCTACTACCTCCCACCCCAGCATGTGAGGCCAGATTTTTTGTTCGTGGGTGGAACCTCCTGGGGAACAGTGTGCCTCTCCCCCAACCCCCGCTCTGGGGGCCAGTGATGGATGAGTGCTGCCAGGTTAGGACCCTTAGTCCTCAAGATAGCCCCAGGCTGGAGAGCATATCTACTTTCCTTTCTTTCTCATCCACATCCCACATGATAGAGTTGCAGCCTCTTCAGTGCTGTGCTTGACTCTCTTCGAAAACAGAGAGGCTGTGAGGGCCCTAAGATTGCACACACACAGCTGATAAGGGGTGTTTGCATACATAACATTGTCTTTGAACCTGGGACCATCCTGAGAAGTAGGCACATCACACACATGCTTTTGCTGTTGTCAGTCCTGTTCCACTCTGTGATGGGGTGACTGAGCCCTCAAAGGGAAAGAATAGGTTCAGGTGCAGAGCTGGCTGTGCCCCAGCCCTGTCTTGCAAAACTCCACACCTCTGAGGGGCACCTGGGCATTCTGGTGTCCATCTGTCCTCAGGCCTCTCCAGGGCTTATCTTCCTCCTTCATCTTCCCTCCTTCTCCTTCATCTTCCCTCCTCCTCCATCTTCCCTCTTCTTCCTCCTTCACCTTCCCTCTTCCTCCTCCCTTCTCTTCCCTCCTCCTCCTCCATCTTCCCTCCTCCTCCCTCATCTTCTCCTCATCCTTTCCTCCTCCTCCCTCATCTTCCCTCCTCCTCCTTCATCTTCCCTCCTCCTCCCTCATCTTCCCTCCTCTTCCCCCGTGTTTGTGTCAGGTCTGTCAGTGCCCTCTGCTCACGGTGCAGGTTTTGGACTTGTTGGTCCCCTTCATTCTGGGGCCAGGAAACCCATCCTGCCTAGAGGGGCTGGGGCTGGCTGCCGCCATATGCTTTCCCCCTGCAGTGGTGGATGGCAGGAGCTGGAGGGTCTGGGTCATCCTGAGCGAGGAACTCCAGCTGGAGGAAGAGGTGCAGCCCTGACCCCTTCTAGCTTCTGGATGAGCAGTTTCATTTTGGGCATGTGGGCATTTTGATGATGGTTAAGGACTATCCATTTCTGGAATTTCTGAGGAATGAAACATATTTTTGAGCAGAACTCTAATCAGTAACCAAAAATAGCCATGACACATTGGCTTCTGAGTCTGCCAACTGCGTATACTATAAAGAGCACCGCTGGGAGGTGCCCAGGGCCCTCTGCCTCACTCTAGCTGTCACAACCCCACTGGAGAGTATGACCAGGCCCATTTCCATGGTTAATATTTAATTCCTCAGCCCCAAACACATGCTGCTAAATGAAGTTACTTCGTTCCCATGAATAGTAGATGAAGCAGATGCAGAGGAGGCCGCGCGGAGGCCCTCACCCCTGTGAGTTCCATTGCCTTCCTCAGGCCTCGGCCTTTGTCTGTTGCCAACCTGGCCAATCCAGCAAGTACATGAATCCCACCGGCCACAGTGCTGGAGAGGAGCCTGAGTGGGCAGCAATGGACGTGCTTATGATTCGTAAGGTGGTTTTGCTTTGCTGCCCCGCAGCTCAGACTTTGGGCAGGGAGAACGTTTCACTCTTCTACCTGCATTCTCAGCTGCAGAGGGATTCCCTCCTCCTCCAGAGAGTGTTATGCAGAGCACACGAGATGGCAGGGATCCATGGAGAAGTTTGGCAATGGAAAAGCACCTCACACGGGAGAGGGTCTGCTGCTCTGTCTCCCAGCTCTCAGATCTGGAAACCTATGCTCCATAGCACAGTTGGCCACCGGGTGTTGGGTAGAGGGAGGGCTTTCTGATGAGGCAGTGTGTGTGTCCCATGTCGGCAACTGAACAAGGAGGCCCCACAGTGTGTACTGGGTGCAAGAGGCTGGGACTGGCTGTTTCGTTCCTCTCTGCTGGGCAGTGCCTAGCCAAGGGCTCAGCCCGGCCTCTGTGTGCAACGGCACTGTGCCAGGGAGCCCTCTCCCAGCTAGTCCCTGGGCTTTCCAATAGAAGAATGAGAGGCATGTGGAGTTTTGCCAGGGCTGAGAAATGCCCTGTGACCTGAGGAAAGCGCAGTCAAGATAGGAGCCGTAGAAATGCCTATAAACTACAGGTGTGCTCTCGGAGGAGGCCCCTGCAAGGGTAGGAGGTTTCTGGGAGGAGGCTGCTGACTGTGTCCCAGGATTCAGACTGATGTCATGGGCCTGGCGTCCTGTGAAGCTGGGCATTATGGATTGTCTTGTCACGGCTCAGCCTGTGTGTGAGCCTCTGTTGGAAGAGCTGTTCGCAGGACAAGCGTGTTCTTAAAGTTAGAGGTGTCCTTTGTCTTCAGTGCTGAATCTTTCCCAGTGAAAAAAAATTTGCTATTACCTGGTCAAACCCACCAGGGCAGGTAAAGTCCTTCCCTTTAAAACAGGTGTAAACACAGGAGCTTTGGCAAGATATCTCAGCCCCTGGGGACACTTAGGGCATCTGGAAGGTGACAGCGGGAAGCATCGTGGGGTTCTGGAAGGACTACGTTCTTGCACTGAAGTGCTGTGCGCTCCTCACAGTATGCAGGGCCAGGGCTTCTGACCTAGATCAGTTGCACTATGGGCTGCCTCCGCTCCTCCTCCTGAGAACAGGTGAACATTTAAAAGTAAGAAGTTCGTACCTTTTTTTTTTTTTGGAGACAGTCTCACTCTGTCACCCAGGGTGGAGTGCAGTGGTGCAATCCCAGCTCACTGCAAACTCTGCCTCCTGGGTTCAAGTGATTCTCCAACCTCAGCCTCCCAAGTAGCTGGAACTACAGGCATATGCCACCACACCTGGCTAATTTTTGTAGTTTTAGTAGAGACAGGGTTTCATTATATTTGTCAGTTGACCTCGATCTCTTGACCTCATGATCCACCCTCCTTGGCTTCCCAAAGTGCTGGGTTTATAGGTGTGAGCCACTGCGCCTGGCCGTAAGTTCATACTTTTTAAAAAACATCCCTCACTGAGGCTTCTTCCTTCATCCTCTCCTCCTAAAGTTTGGAGACCTCACAACCTAATCTTTCTCTTGGACAAACCACTTGCTTCCTCCTGGGCTCCTTGCTGAGCATTGGGCCACCCTGACTCCAAGAGACAGTGTCCTGGCAGAGAACTTGCTTCACAACTGCATGATGTCCTTTGCTTTCCCAGCCCACCGGAGATCCTCCTTCAACTTTGAGTGCCTGCGCCGGCAGAGCAGCCAGGAAGAGATCCCGTCATCTCCCACCTTCTTCCCCCACCGCACGGCCCTGCCTCTGCACCTGATGCAGCAACAGGTGAGCGGCCGCCTGGCCTCGCCCCCATGCCCTGGGGCACCCCACATGAGACCCACCATCAGGTCATGCCCTTCCCCTTGGCCTTAAGCACCAGGAGGGAAGGAGAGAATCTTCACCTACAGTCTGGCTAATCCTTGTAACAATCCTGCCAAATGGCCATGGCCATGAGCCCCATTCTGCCCAGTCATGCGCAAGTGAGTGGCTGCTAGCATTTGAATCCAAGGAGCCAGCTGTCAAAGCTGGCCTCTCTGCCCAGGTACCTTCCGCGACCCCCACCACCTCTTCCTTGTATTGAATACAGAGCCTGATGTGATCTGAGCGCAGGATGTGGGGGCTACTTAGCTGATTCTGAACAGTCAGTGTAGCCCTTGATTTTTGCCAAGAAGTAGTTCCTTTGTTAAAACAAGTTTATGGGTCCCTCCGTGGGCAGGGCCCTGTGGGCACCATGCAGGGTGAACTTGCCCTGCCTACAAAGGGAGCAGTCCAGGGAGAACAATCTGCCCACATTGAGGGTGGCTGCACAGATGAGAGAGTGGGGCCAGAGGCCACTCACCAGGGCTTTCCCTCGAGGATACGAATATGGCAATTTTTCTTTCTGAAAGTGTCACATCAGAGATGCCATCCATTCGTGCATGACAGGGTGGTTGGCATGGGCCTGTGCTGTTTACAGCGCCCCTCTCTGCAGAGTGTGAACCCCAAGGTGCATCTGCTGTTGTGGGATTGTCAGCCTGGGGCTTGTACTTAGTGCTTTAGCACATGCCAAATGCCGGCTCTAGGATGTGTTACTCCAGAGCAAAGAGAAACAGCTATGTTGTCATGTAAGTGCTGGGAAGCCCTGTAGCTTCCCCTGAATGTACTTCGGTATGTAAGCCCAGCATGAATTGGGTGGTGTGTTCATACCCACAGCTTGTTGGGCTTCCCTGAAGCAATTTCATGAATTAGCAACTGATATCTCCTTGGGAACAGTCATAGAAAATGCATTATGGATTCGGGGAAAAAGAAAGCAGTGTGCTAGAAAACCAAGTCGTCACTGGCCATTCACTCAGCATACTTCAGTGTGCCCATGTCCCTTCCAAGCCTGGTCCAGTCCCTGGACCGCCCCTGGAGAGCGCAGCACCCATGCTTGGTCTGTGTGCAGGAGGTTTGAGGCCAGGGCCTCTGGTGTCTCAATACTCCTCTCTCCTCAGATTATGGCAGTTGCTGGTTTAGATTCCAGTAAAGCCCAGAAGTACTCACCGAGTCACTCGACCCGGTCATGGGCCACGCCTCCAGCGACCCCTCCCTACCGGGACTGGACACCATGCTACACTCCCCTGATCCAAGTGGAGCAGTCGGAGGCCCTGGACCAGGTGAACGGCAGCCTGCCGTCCCTGCACCGCAGCTCCTGGTACACAGACGAGCCCGATATCTCCTACCGGACTTTCACACCAGCCAGCCTGACCATTCCCAGCAGCTTCCGGAACAAAAACAGTGACAAGCAGAGGAGCGCAGACAGCTTGGTGGAGGCAGTGAGTATGGCTCTTGGTCACAGAGGGCAGGAAGCACCAGGAGCAGCAGAGGTGCAACCACAATAGCAGGAGAGGCAGTGGTGGGAGGGTGGCCAGGCTGTGAGCCAGTGTCCCTCAGTCAGACACTTCTGAGCAGCAGGAATGTACCTGAAGCATGAGTTAAAACTGGTCACCACTGCTGTGTGCGGTGGCTCAACCTGTAATCCCAGTACTTTGGGAGGCTGAGGTGCATGGATCACCTGAGGTTAGGAGTTCAATACCAGCCTGGCCAACATGGTGAAAACGCTTGTCTACTAAAAGTACAAAAATTATCCTGGTGTGGTGGTGTGTGCTTGTAATCCCAGCTACTCAGGAGACTTCAGCAGGAGAATCGCTTGAACCTGGGAGGTGGAGGCTGTAGTGAGCTGAGATCACGCCACTGCACTCCAGCCTGGGTGACAGAGGGAGACTCTGTCTTAAAAAACAAAAACAAAAAAAACCCTAAACACTGGTCACCACCATACAGCTCATAAATGAGCTGTGCTGGCATTATGGGTGCTGTTCCAGCAGTATGTTTCAGTTTATACTAAATGTCTTACCCCAGTGGGTTTCACTCTTGTTGGGCCTTGTGTAGTTTTTTAAGCTCCAGGGCATTTTCAAAGCCATTTACATTAATTATGTATGAGCTCCAGAAAACATGATTGAGCCGCATCCCCAAAGCACATGGTGCAGTTAAGTTAGCACTGGAGTTGATTTTTCTGTCCTCTCCCCTGCCCTGCAAAGCCTTATAACACCCCCATGCCGTCCATCCCTCTTTCCTGTACAGGTCCTGATATCTGAAGGCTTGGGACGCTATGCAAGGGACCCAAAATTTGTGTCAGCAACAAAACATGAAATCGCCGATGCCTGTGACCTCACCATCGATGAGATGGAGAGTGCAGCCAGCACCCTGCTTAATGGGAACGTGCGTCCCCGAGCCAACGGGGATGTGGGCTCCCTCTCACACCAGCAGGACTATGAGCTACAGGACTTTGGTCCTGGCTACAGCGATGAAGAGCCAGACCCTGGGAGGGATGAGGAGGACCTGGCAGATGAAATGATATGCATCACCACCTTGTAGCCCCCAGCGAGGGGCAGACTGACTCTGGCCTCAGGTGGGGCGCAGGAGGGCCAGGGGAAAAGTGCCTCATAGTTAGGAAAGTTTAGGCACTAGTTGGGAGTAATATTCAATTAGACTTTTGTATAAGAGATGTCATGCCTCAAGAAAGCCATAAACCTGGTAGGAACAGGTCCCGAGTGATGGAGCCTGGCAGAGGACCCTGCCCTCAGCCTCACCTGCAGGAAACAGCAGACCCCACCCTCTCACAGAGGATGGGTGAGGAGGGCAGACCCGCCCTGCCCCATTGTCCAGATGGGCCCTGCTGTGGAGTCTACTTCTCCCATGTACCGGGGCACCAGGCCCACCCACCTGAAGGCATGGCGGGGGGGCGGGGGAAGGTAAAGGTGATGACGACCATCACACCTGTGTCATTACCTCAGCCATCGGTCTAGCATATCAGACAGTCACTGGGCCCAACATATCCATTTTTAAACCCTTTCCCCCAAATACACTGCATCCTGGTTCCTGTTTAGCTGTTCTGAAATACAGCGCGTAAGTCAGAACCCAGCTACCAGCGGTCATTGTAAGGGCAATGGACCTTATAAATAAGGTTTTCTGTGATGTGACGCCAGTTTACATAAGAGAATATCACTCCGATGGTCGGTTTCTGACTGTCATGCTAAGGGCCACTGTAAACTGGAATAATAATGCACTCGCAACCAGGTAAACTTAGATACACTAGTTTAAAATTATAGATTTACTGTACATGACTTGTAATATACTATAATTTGTATTTGTAAAGAGATGGTCTATATTTTGTAATTACTGTACCGTATTTGAACTGCAGCAATATCCATGGGTCCTAATAATTGTAGTTCCCCACTGAAATCTAGAAATTAATAGTATTTTTACTCGGGCTATCCAGAAGTAGAAGAAATAGAGCCAATTCTCATTTATTCAGTGAAAATCCTCTGGGGGTAAAATTTTAAGTTTGAAAGAGCTTGACACTACAGAAATTTTTCTAAAATATTTTGAGTCACTATAAACTGATCTTTCCACAAGATATACCAGATGGCTCTTTGCAGTCTTTTCTTTGGGCAAGAGTTCTACGATTTTGATACTGTACCTTTGGATCCACGGTGGGTTGCAGCTATCTTTGGTTTTGTTTGACGTTAACAACCCTCTGGTAATTACAGAGCAGGTCCAGCCGGCTATTCTGCCCCTAGGGCATCCATAGTTATGGTTTTCTCTGCTGCCCACACAGGGCATTTTTGCATCTCTGGTGCAGAAATGCACAGATGAATGAGGTACAGCTGTTCTTGTCTTCTGGGGACTGGTGGTGCTGCTTTAGAAATAAGGGGTGCTGGGGTAGGGGGAAGGAAGAAGCAACATGGTGATCTATAGGATTGGAATGTCGGGGTCTATACAAATCGTATTGTTGCCTTTTATACATTGCTGTACTGTGTGTTCTCTTTGAGGGCTTTTATATGCAATTGAATGAGGGCTGAAGTTTTCATTAGAATGCACTCACACTCTGATTGTACGTCCTGATGAAAACCCACTTTTGGATAATTAGAACCATCATGGCTTCCTTTTCTGTCAACGGGAGTATGCTGACTATCAAGTTACCTTGGCAGGGATTCCCTGCAATCAAAAAGACAGGTAGCAATTTTGGTCTAAAATTTTTAATAGTATACAGACTACCTGTTAATGGTTTTTTGTTTTGTTTTGTTTTGTTTTTGTAAATAACACCACTTTGTTATGAAGACCTTACAGACCTCTTCTTATGACATTCTTATTCTAATCCAGGCAAAAACACTTCAAGGTTTGTAAATGACTCTTTCCTGACATAAATCCTTTTTTATTAAAATGCAAAATGTTCTTCAGAATAAAGCTGTGTAATAATTTTGTTATGTTTGGGAGCTCTCCTCACACAGAGCTGGCGTTTGCCTCTGACAGGGCAGGTACTGTCAGGGCAGCTCTGAAATGACTCAGCTCTGATATTCTTTCTTATCCTCCTGGCTCCTTTGGTGCCCATGGTAACCTCATACCAGCTGCAGGGAGCACCGTTTCTCCTAAAGGGCTACACCACTGTCAACATTATCTTGGACACTGTGTCTCTGTTGGGTCTTGGTCTTACTGTGTGGCTTCTCATCCGGCCAAAATTGCCAGACCAGGACCCTGAGTGTCTGGTAGAGGCGATGTTCTTTTCCAAAGTCAGGGCTTAAAAACTGACGTTTTTATAGGCTGCACCACTTCCTAATATCTATCTGCTTTAAGCCTGGTTCAACCTCTCATCGAATATTAAATTTTTCTTTGTAAGAAAAATTTGGAGTTGTAGATCATGTTGTTGTTTTTTTCCTTTGTTTTAGGAAAGTGTTAAGATGAAATGGTTTTCCTTTTTGGTTCCCTCCCCACCTGAAAAATACACATTTTGTGTCCACAAGAATAATATATTGTTTCTTTAATCTTGTGTTTTTCATAATCTCACAAAATGTAAATGACAGCTACGATTTCACCGTCAACTGGCATCGAGAACCTCACTGAGAACCATCTCTGCTCAGCCTGTGGACTCCGACATCCACCCAGACAGCTGGATCGCACTTTGCCAGGTGTCCCTTTCCAGCTCTGTCCTAAGGAGTTTCAGAATTGGGCGAAGGCCAGGCCTGGTGGGCTGTGAGGGCCACGGTACCTCTCGGCGCAGGCTCGCCTTTGTGAAATGGGACCAGGGGCACCACTTGCTTTACTACTGACCCTGCTGTGAAAAAAACTGGAGCAGTTTCACCTTGTATACTTATCGGTGTCATAAGCGTCTTTGCCAATTGCATCTCCTACAAAGGTTTTTATTGTTATGATGGGCATCTGGCTGGTTTATAAAAAGTAGTTAGCAGTAGAGCTGACATCATGCACAGAGCCTCGACTCCCTGACTAGACAACTGATGCCAGGGATGTTTTGTTGAAAAGGTTCTTATTTCTCTAAAACAGTATTTCTTCTCCTCTCCTGGGGACTGGGAGGGCAAGAGAGAATGAGGAGCAGGCTTGCGCCCTGGTTCCAACATCAGGAGTGACAGGGTGATCTCGGGGATGTCCTGTGGGGACAGCCTGGGCCACTAAACAGGGCCAGTAGAGATAGGCATTTTAGCTTTAAAAAAATCTGTATTGGAACTGATGTTAAACTGGCTTATCAGTAGAAGCATGAAATCACCTCTAAGTGGTGGGACATGGTTGGCTGGAGAAGAATCTGTTTTTTGTTGTTGTTTTTTTTGTACACGGGCTGGTGGGAGGGGGCAGTCTCACTCTGTCACCCAGGCTGGAGTGCAGTGGTGCAATCTTGGCTCACTGCTGCCTCTGCCACCCAGGTTCAAGCCATTCTGTCTCAGCCTCCCGAGCAGCTGGGACTACAGGCGTGTGCCACCATACCCAGCTAATTTTTGTATTTTTAGTAGAGATGTGGTTTCACCATGTTGGCCAGGTGGGTCTCGAACTCCTGGCCTCAAGTGATCCACCCACCTCGGTCTTCCAGAGTGCTGAGATTACAGGTGTGAGCCAAGCCCAGCCAAAAAGAATCTATCTGAATTCGTGGAGATGATGATGCCTGCAACGCACGCTGCAGGCAGAAAGACTAGATGCTTAGGTGCTTACAAGTCCTGCTTCAGGAGCTCACCATCTCTAGTCGGGCTAGCAGATGCTCTTGGCTCCTTTGCAGCCCACCCGTCCCCTATTCCATCAGAACAGCCTTCTACTAGTGCAGCAGCTTCAGCACAGCCTTCTGCAACAGGTCAGGGCTCCTGAGATCACTCGGCACATGCAGAGCATTCTGTTGTGCTATTTGAACCACTGTTTGCAAAGCACATTTCTGTTTTTTAGGTACTGTAGGCTTTTCCCCAAGGGGCCTGATTCCCTATGAGACTGAAGATGGGGGGACCCTATGTGCACCCCACTTTGTAGCAAGTTCCTTTCTCCCCATGCCGGCATTCTCAGCTGACAGCCTCTCCTCCTGGGGTGAAAGGCTCCCCTCATGGCAGGGGAACTCTCAGGTTCTGGACATGTGACACTCACCATCTTTTCTTTTGAATCTCATTTCTGTTTATGGCCAAATTGTACGACTGCATAGAACATGACTAAGTATTTCAGAGAGAAGGGCCTGGTGCAACTGAGCAGCACCCCCAATGAGCTCCTCTTACCACATGACAATTTGCTTATTTTAAAATACAGCCACCGGACTGAACCGACCATGGTCTCACAGGCGGACACACCATGGGACGCAGAGATAGTAGAACTAAGTGACTGTCACCCTGCCATATCCATATGTGTTCCAAAGAAGAAGGGTCAGCAGAGTTATGGCTGGCCCGGGACCATCCCGTTCCCGAGTCCACACATGCTCCAGCAGGAGAGCTGCACGAGGCCCTCCGAGCCCTGGGACTGGCACCTGAACTGCTGTTCCTGCACTCCTGCAGGCAGCCCCAAGACGCAGGTGACTGATGGCCATGGACTGCTGCTGTGGGGCAGATGGGGACCTCCGTAGGAGAAATAAGTCTTGGCAGATTTAGAATTTTCTTTCTTGATCCTCTCTTGGAATAAAAAAATACAGGTAAGATTAAACAAGAGCTGCTTAAGATTTTTAAAAGGAGAGGTGTGATAGGTTTCTTCCATGCTGCCTTTCTAGAAGGTTTTTCTCAGAAACCTAAGTAGTGGCTGTCAGGCCCCCAACGTCTATAAGCCACCTTAGTACCTTCCGATCCCAGCAAAGCCTGGAATCCCCCAATTCGCTCCTGTCCTTACTCTGGGCCTAGTACAGCGGTTTCCACATAACACCACTTTTCTTCCCAGCCCTTGACGGTGGATGTGGATGTCTTTGGAAGAATCCTAGTGCATTTCATGTTCATTACCTCGTCGGATCAGTCTGGAGAAGGCATCTCAGTTCAAATGTAAGTGACTGGATTACTTTATTGAATGGTAAGAAATTTAAAGAGCAAAGAGCTGTTGTAAATGCTACTTGTGTGTTTTTTTCCTCCAAAACTCCAATCTTGAATTTTTCTTTCAGTGGCATTTCTACAGGAACAGGGTGTGCATGGCTGTGCTTAACTGCATTTGCCATCCTGGTCTGTTCCTGTGCACGTCTAGAGAATAAGAATTAACCAGCCTTGTCCACTGCTGGGGCAGCTCGGGCTGCCAACTCATTTCCCAAGCCCAATATGAGAGAGTCCTTTCTCAGACTAGCTGCTTCAGTAGGAAGCAGTCATCTGGTATGTGGGGTTTGCTCTGGGTTTCTGCATTTCTTGGTAAAAGGAAGCCCTTTTAAAATGCTAAGTCATGAAACCTTTGGTAGTGAAGCCAAGTGGCATTCCCTCCAGATTCCTGTCTCCTTGAATAAGGTCCAAAAAATCTCAGGGTTTTTTTTTTTGAGACAGGGTCGGTCTCTCACCCAGGCTGGAGTGCAGTGGTGCGATCAAGGTTCACAGGAGCCTCGACCTCCCGGGCTCAAGCCATCCTCCTGCCTCAGCCTCCCAAGTAGCTGGGACTATAGGTGTACACCAGTATGCCCAGCTAATTTTTTTTTTTTTTTCCAGAGACAGGGTTTCACTATGTTGCCCGGGCTGGTATTGAACTCCTGAGCTCAAGTGCTCTTCCCAAAGTGCTGGGATTATAGGTGTGAGCCACTACACCTGGCTCTGGTTTAATAAGAACCAGAGATTCAGAGAGGTGGGCCACAACCCTTTCAGAGTGACCCAGCGGAGCCCCAGTTACCTGCCTGACTCTAAGAGTGAAATTAGGAAGAAAGGGAAAGCCAGTTTTTCTGCCAGCAGGCAACTTTCCCCTCTGATCAGGGACACCGGGGACTTATGTGCCAGCCCAGGCTGAACTAACTACTGTGTGACTCTCTGCCTCAGCTAAAGCTTGCAGCTCGAGGAGGAGGATGCCCCTTCCTTGGTGAGCCTGTGCACATCTGGCAGGCACCCAGCTTCTGTGCATGCCCTGGGAAGGAACCACTTCCCTGGGTTAGAGAATGCCACGTGAACACAAGACAAAGGATGCGGCAGGAGTTAACCCTCCTCCCCTGCTGTCCCTCCACGAGGCAGGGAGGAGCATCTCAGCCTGAATGCTGGCCTTCCCCAGCAGCCCACAGGGAAAGTCTGGGGAAAAGGAGCTTGATCCACTGCCCAGTATTTGTCTCATTTCCCAAGAGTTTATCCCATTCTCAGCCACTGAGTAGGGATAGAAGGAGAGGTGTGATAAGTAGCCATTCTCAGCCACCTGGATCCTAGGGTGCTACACAGTTTCTGGAAGGAGCCTGGGAGCAAGGGCTGTGCTGGTCCTCTTGGCTCATCAGGGGGCTTCCCCAGTCATCCTCTAGCAGCAACTGTTTAGCGCTGTGTGGCCAGCGTCCTGGGCTTGTAGACAGAGACGTCTTTGTCCCAGAGTGCAGGCCGCCCTTTGATAATGTCAGCTGCCTTCTCTGCAATCATGATGGTGGGGGCGTTCAGGTTGCCACTGACCAGGCTGGGCATGATGGAGGCATCGACAACCCTGAGGTTTTCCACCCCGAGAACCCTTGTCTGCGGATCCACCACGGCGGTGGGATCAGATGGCTGGCCCATCTTACAGGTGCAAGAGGGGTGGTAGGCACTGTCGGCTTTTGCCCGCACAAAGGCATCTATCTCTTTATCTGACTGAACATGGCTTCCCGGCTGGAGCTCTTTCCCTCGGAACGGAGCGAAGGCTTCCTGTGCAAAAATTTCTCTGGTGAGCTTCACACACAGACGGAAATCCTTCACGTCAGTTTCTGTTGAGGAGAAGAAACAGGTGAAAACCCCTCCTTTTGCCATGCTGGCCTCACTGGAAGATTCACGGCATGGAGAAGCTCCGTAAGCTGTCTGAGGAGATGGTGTTTGGGGACAAAGTTCAGGGCCTTGGGGGACTGAGCCAGCAGGCTGCTTGTCACCTGCTGGTTAGACTTCATAGCTGGTTAGACTGTACTGTGCAGCTCAAAGGCAGCATCCTACACGGACACAGCCCGCCCAGAGGCCCAAGTTGAAATGAGGGGTCTGACTTACCTGTAGGACAGGGATGAGAACACAAAACCCGCCCCTGCCACAGGGTTGCTGTGAGCACCCTGCAGCCATCGCTGGGCAAAACCTGCCCAGTGGACAGTGCTCATTTTTGCTGCATGCAAAGAGGCAGGCCCAGGAATGGAATGTGCTTTTAGAGGCTGCTCAGAGTAATAACAGGAACAATGCTCTAGCTACAGACCTGGCACCCACACGGCGTGGTCTCCCTTACCTCGTGGCAGATTGTTCTGAAAGATGCAAATCTCCCATGCTGTCTAAAATGAAGCCCTGGGGTTACTTCATGTGTCCCAGGACACGAAAGGGCTGCTGAAGCAAGTTTACAGCCTGAAGTGATGGGGCGGGGGATGACAGAGGAGCACTTTTGTCTTGTAAAGTGTAGTCCAAGGGTACGATTCAGGGGCAAGCAAGAACCTCACAAGGCATTCATTTGTTCAAGCCCAGGGCCAGGCAGATGCAGGTGGCTGAATTACCTGTTGACAAGTAGTTGGGCTGGATCACAGGGTGGTCTTGGGGATTGGCACTTCTCAGTTTGAGCCAGCCCACACTTGTGCCCCGCATGGTCCCCACGTGTACCTAGGAGAACACAGAGGAAGCAGTGATGGTCCCTCCACAGACATCCACAGTGACCTCTACCGACCCTTGTTTACCTGCACGGTGGGCCTCTGCTTCCAGAGTCAGTGGGGAGCGGAGGCATGTTAGCATTTGCCCACATGGTACCCACCTCCACAAAGCGATTACAAACCACCTCGGTGAATCACTCTTTCATCCTGGCCTCATACTCCATGGCTCAAAGCTTTCAGAGATGGTGATTCCAGGGCCAAATCAGCACCCCTATTTGTCCCATTTCTGGCACTCGGGACCTCGTCTCCATGGACCAGTCATACACTTGGCATGCACCACAAAGACTGACTCGCTGGCCTCCCTCCCTGCTCCTCTCTCCACCCAAACATGCTGGACAGCTGGAAGGCAGGGGACAGGCCTCTATGCCCCCAACTCTGCAGCCATGTGGCACCAGGGAGAATGCTGCCTTGGAACATGAGAGCATCTTCCTTCCTGGATGGTAGGAAGGAAACACCCTGGGAAGCCATGCCTCCTCCCCCTGCTCACCTGGTAAGCCTCCTGCTGGGTGGGGACGCGCCCATGGTCAATCACTTGGGATGGCAGGAAATGGAACTGGATATCCGGGTGGGGGACCCCAGGCTGGCTGCGGATGAACCCACCTGTTTCCAGATGGGCAGTGGCTCCCTCCCCTGAGAAGCAGAAGAGGATGAGGCAGAAGAGCCAGTCAGGACGTGGCAGGTGGGCCAGCTGTTCCTGGCTTCCCTCTTGGTGACTGGACCCAAGTCCTGTCCACATCAGTTTACCCCCTACAGGAGGCTCACCCAGCACCACACCATAAAATGTCAACTATTTGCCTGAAGTGGGGGCATCAGCTCTGCCCTCTACCTGGGCCAATTCTGCCACTGCCAATGCCACCTGCTTTCCTGGCTCTTCCCACCACATAGTACAGCACACACTGCATAGTAGGTGTGTGAGAAATACAGGCTGAGTGGATGAGCAGGATTTCAAACTACCATTTCCTGGCCCAGGTGCAGCTAGAAATCAAATGGAAAAGGTTGAAAGATGAATGCTGATTCTGCAGTCTAGCCCCAAAGTCTCCTCTCTCCACCTTTTCTCCCGGTTCCTTGGACCTCACCTGCTGTGTAGCACTAGGCCATCCCTGCCCATCTGTAAGGAAGAGCAGCCCCTAAGCCCTGAGGAGTCTCACCTTGAGCAGACCCTGGGCCAAGCTCCTTGGTACGTGCTATTGCTTCTGGTCCTCGCTTCAACCCGTCAGGTTGAAACTGTGCATCCCCATTTTGAAGATGGAAAGACTGAGACTCAGGGCTAAGGTAAATGGCATAGTTCAGCATCAAACCCAATGCGCAGTGGCCAGAACCCTTGCTCAGCTCCTGAGGAAGGAGGTCTCAATGCTCATAGTCTCCTCCCAGGTTACCGATGAGTGTGCTCACCTGTGAATTTCCAGAGCCACTCCAGACCAATGCGGGCCTTCCGCAGGGGCTTCTGTGATGAATGGAGGGTGATGGGATGGGTGCATGCCTGCTGAATGTAGATCTCCAGGTGGTCCTGCAGGTTCTGGCCAACCCCTGATACGGGAGGCAATAGGTAAGAAAATGGCTACCAAGGGCGCTCAGCTGCTTCTCAATATCCCCCTGGTTTTGAAAAATTCTCCCCTAATCACTTGTCTTCTGGACCGAGCAGGAGCTCGATTTAAAGACTGGTCTCAGTTTAAAGGCTGCCTCCCAGAGACATCATTCTTGCACTCCTGGCCAAGTATGGCCTGCCTCTGATGCTGCCAAGGCTGCCTATCCTTGTCACTTACTCCCAGGGCAGCCTCTGGGTGCTCTGTGTCTAGCCCTGCTCAGCAGCCCCCTTCATGAGGCAAGGACCCACACCTTCAGCAGGCACTGCTTGGTTAGCAGTGGCTGGATGGTGATGGCCAGAGGGGCAGAGAGCAGCCCCATCCTCACCCCAGCGTGGGGAAGGAGGAAGCAGCCCTGTCGTGCTATGCAGCCCTTGCATGAGTTCATCCAAGCCTTTGGGCACACTGGGCAGGTCACTGTCATGAAGCAGCACTTCCCCAAGCCCCTCATGATGAAGCCTAAATGCACAAAGGCCCAGCCCTCCTGGAGTGAGGTTATCAGGAAGGGCAAGAGACGGAGCCTGGCCCTCAAGGGCATCTGAGACAGTTTACAAAATCAGTTTAGGTCTTAACAGGGAGAGCAGGCTCTGGAGCACTGAGCTGACTTCATTCATGCTCAAGGCAGCCAGTGAGTCCTGTGGATAGAAGGACGAGGCCTGGACCCCTCTCACCATAGAGCTGCCCTGGTGACACGCCCATGGCTGACCCAGTGGGACTTTACGGGCAGATGCTCCCTGCTGCAAGGTGCCCTTCTCCAAGTGAAACAGGATGGCCGGGGAAGAGAGAGGGAAAACAACACAAGGCTTGGGGCCCAGGGGTGACAGGGTCCAGTGAGCCTGGGAGACCTTCAGCCTCACGGGGATGATGTGACAGTTCTAAGGAGCACTGACTGCCACCACCTCCCCACTCCATGCTATTAAGATACACTAAGCCATTTGCTGAGCACAGACAGCCCCTGGGGAGCAGTAAAGAAGGGGGCTCACCAGGCAGGTGGCATACCACAGGGATGCCCAGTTTCTTGAGGTCGTCAGCATTCCCGACGCCTGAGAGCATGAGCAGCTGTGGAGAGTTGATGGCACCTCCGCTCAGAATCACCTCCTTGCTGGCGTAAGCCTGGAAGAGGCAGAAGTCCGGCCAGGTCACACTCCCCGAAAAGCCAGCTCTTTTCCTGACTCACAGACCAGTGTCCTGCTCTAACCAGCACCATGAGAACATGGCCTTGGGATGTGGAATCCATGTGGCACGCCGGGACACGGCAACTGCTGTACAGCACCTGCTCACAGGCCCCAGAGCCAAGGAGAGGAGGCTCACTGAGTCACTATTTGAAAGCAACCGGCAGGTGTAACTACAGCTAGACGGTAGTGATGGCCTTAACAACAGGAGGGGTCAGCTTACATGAGATAAATGAAAGCAGACATTCAAGTGAGTAGTCTAAAGCAAGAAGTAAACCAGATCTACACGTGAAGGTGCAAAACAATCTGACCCCCTGCCAACAACGCAGAAATATAAAGTATGACCACACATATGGGTTTTAAAACCTCTAGTGTAAACCTATAGTTTCCTGTGAGGTCAGTGCCCTGAAATGGTGCGGAAGGCTCTGAATTAGGCATGCACACAGGGGCACTGACACCACGGGCCCTCTGCAGGTGGTAGGACTGGGGGCTTCCTCACCTCCACCAGCCCACTGCTACCAGCTGCTCGGCCCCCCTATCATAGGTACGAGCATACAGGGCTGGGGGTGAGGGTGTGAGTCCTGCCCCCTCTGAGCTGAACCACCAGGGTCACTGCCCACTCTCTTCTGCCAGGACCCCACTGCAGTGCACTCACCCTGCAGCTCTGCCCATTCTTGACATAGTCCACGCCCACTGCACGGGTGCCCTCAAATAGCACCCTGCTCACAAGCGTCTGGGCCTCGGCCTTGAGGTTGGTGCGGCTCAGTGCTGGGTGCAGGTAGGCACAGGCCGTGCTCCACCGTTTGCCTGCAGGATGGAGGGTGGTGGTCAGGCACAGCCCCGCCCTCCCCTGGTACCTGGGCAGGAGGAAGGAGCTGGGGAAAGAGTGGATATGCCCAGCTCTGACTGCAAGACCTGCCTTTAAAGCTGGGACAGAAAGAACCTGCCCTGCAGAAGTCCACAGCTGCCTGGGGTCCCCTGGACACAGGTGGAAAAGTACCCTTCACCCTCAAACAGGAAGACACAAAGACCAGGAGCACGGCCAAAGGGCTAAGAGCCTTGAAGAGGCAGGCAGGAGCCCTGGGTCAGCCCTGACTTGCCTCTGCCCTGCTGTGAGCAAGGCCCTTCACCACTCAGTGTGCCTCAGTTTGCCCATCTGCAAGTCCCTAGAGGACTTTAGGCTACCTGTCCAGAGAGCTGATTCTCCATTATCCACACAAATGGGGGCCAGAGGTGCAGAGAACACCGAGATCCCCATCGTGTATCACTCACGGCTCTGGGTTGTATTCTGTTGGGGTGTACTGAGCCACATCCCTTCCCGCTCATGCCAGGCTCAGCGTTCCCATGCCTCCTGACCATGCTGGAGCCAGGAGCCCGGAGCTTAGGCCGACATGGGCGGGAGCTGGGGTAGGGAGCAGTGCTTTTAAAAAGAGAAAAGACAGGTGGATGGGAAGGGAGGCCACACCTTCATGGATGGTCATGTCCATCCAGCCGAAGCCCTCCTGCTGGAAGCCGTTCATGTCCTCGGTGAGCGGGTAGCCAGCCTGCTGCGTGGCCTCCAGGAACGCGCGGTGCAGCGGGTGGTTGGTCTTGCCCCGAGACACCCGCAGCGGACCATCGGCGCCCCGGTACAGGTTGGCGCCCAGCTCGTGGCCCTGCGCCTTGCGGAAGTAGGGCAGGCAGTGCGCGTAGTCCCAGCCGAGGGCGCCTTGGCGCTGCCAGCGCTCGTAGTCCTCGGCGTGCCCGCGGACGTAGACCATGGCGTTGAGGGACGAGGAGCCGCCCCAGACGCGGCCGCGCGGCCAGTACAGCACGCGCCCGTCCAGGCCCGGCTGCGCCTCCGTGTGGTAGCACCAGTTGTACCTGTCGTCGCACAGGTTGGCCACCAGGGCCGCGGGCATGTGGATCTTCCACAAGAGCCGCTTGCTCCCCGCGCGCAGATCCTTGGGCCCCGCCTCCAGCAGCAGCACGCGCTCGGCGGGGTCCTCCGTGAGCCTCCCAGCCAGCACGCAGCCCGCCGAGCCCGCACCCACCACCACGTAGCTGTACTCGTCCCGGATCTCGGAGCTCGCGCTGGCCAGGGTCCGGGCACCTGGGGGCTGCTGCCGCCCCACGGCTCCCCGTGCCAGGGCTCCAGGCCGGCCCAGGCCGCGTAGGAGACACCACATGCTTCTATCTAGCCCAGTCCTCTGATCCACGGAGGGGAATGAGATGACTCAATTCTCCCTAAAACAGGAAAAGAAGCTTTAAAAATCTTAAATCGGCATGCACGTGCAGAATCGGTCCCAAGCTGGGACAGCCACACTGGTGTGGCAAAGCTCCAGGGCATGCTCACCAACGGCCTGCCAGGGCAGGGTGCAGCAAGCCCAGCCTGACGGTGGCTGCTCAAAGAAACGAGGAGGAGGAAGTGAGGGGCACACAGGAATTTCAGAACTGTTTTATATGTGCCAGGATGGACAGGCACAGGGTGGTGGGTGGGGCAGCAAAAAGGCCCCTCCCCCAACTAAGGGGTAAAATGCTTCCCTGTGCTATGTGTGTGAACCTGGAGACTGGGCAGCAGTCCACCTGCCAGAACGCAGGGGAGCAAAGGGCTTTCCAAGGGGGAGAGAAAACAGGGAACTTGTTCTCGTCCGTTCGAGACAGCGGGCTCGGCCCCTACCATGTGCTAGCACTGTTTCCTGCCCCACCCGGTTCCTCTAGCAATACACAGAAAGACATCTACTCTCAAAACTGATGGTTTAGGCCTGGGAGAAGGACAAGACTCAAATAAATAGCTGAAGGAAGATCAGCAGGAGAGGCAGGAGACTGTAGAGCTCAAAGACTTTGACCTGAGGGGGCCATGGGGTACATTAGAGGGGTTTTAAACAGGGTCAGGGTCAGAGCTACACTCTTCAAAGATCACTCTGTAGAATGCTAGCGTCTTAACACAAAAATGGCAGTAGCTTTGAAAGGGTCCTTTCCTAACAATGTTCAAATCAATCTCCACGTAGTGTACAGAGGTAGAAGAAAAAAACAGGATATGCCATGAAAACTTCCACTAAAAAGAACACCTGATGACGCCCCACCCATGAGGCTCAGACCAACAAGGCCTGCCCAAGACTGAGGCTGAAACACAAGGAAACCCTGATAAATCCCACCATCCCTTCCACAAGCCCTGCACCAAGTAACAGCAGCCTACCACTGGAGTGCAGAGGCTCTTTCTCCTCCTCCTCCCCCGTTGCACAGGCACAGGAGACAGAGGTGGCGGAGCCTCCTGCATGCTATGTCTGAGGCTGCTGGAACACTGAGAAGTACTCTTCGGAACTCCAGGCCCCACACCAGCAGCAAGCAGCAGCCCACCACACCACTCCCCACCCAACAACACTCCACACTAACAACCCAACAGAATGAAAGGCAGGCTCTTTGCTAGGCATACTATTTACCTCAGTCTCCACTATCCCATTACACACAAGGTCTAGCATTCAATAAAAATTTAGGATACTAAAAGCAAGGCAAATAAAGGGCTCCTTATCAAGAGATATAGTAGTCAACAGAAACAGACCAAGGAGTAATGTACCCAGATGTTAGGACCCATCAAAGACTTCACAATAACCAAGGTGAACATTATAAAGCTACAGTTGAAAAGGTGGACAACATACTGAACAGATAGGAAATTTCAGCCAAACATTGAAAACTATAGAAAAAAACCAAAATGCAAGAAAAAATACGATGTTAGAGATGAATAATTTTTAATTGGATACAGCACAGAAAACAATCTGGAAATATAAAGAGAAGAAAGAAAGAAAAAACAAAGCAACCAACAACTGTGGGACAATATCAAACTAAAGGATGGATCACTGGAGTCTGAGAGGGAAATAGTGGGGAAGGAGGGCCAGGGGGGAAAGAAGAACAGAGAACAAGGGAGGAGAAGTGTTTGAGGAGAGAATTGCTGAGACTTACCCAAAAGTAGTACAAGACAAAACACTATGGATTTAAGAAGCTTAGAGCATCCCACGCAGGATTAGTACAAAGAAAAACACATCTAAGTACATCACAGTTAAGTTGCTGAAACTCCAAAATAAAGAGAAAATCATTAAGTAGCCAGATAAAAAGAAACATATGCAGAGGGATAAATGTAACAGTGACAGCAAACTTCTCGGAAAATATGCAATCCAGAAGATGATGGAGTGACAACTTTAAATACTGAAAGAAAAAAGAACCTCTGCTAGTTTACTGAAATTTAAAAATTATCTATAACCAGGAAGTACATCTTTATAAAGTAGATAATTTAGATGAAATGGACTAATTACTTGAAAAATACAAGCTGTCAAACTCACACAGGAAGAAACAGACACTCCGAATAAGCTATATCTATTAAAGAAACTGAATCAATAATTGAGAAAGCACCAAGCTTGACTAAGCTCACTAGTAATTTCTATCAAACATTTAAGGAAAAAATTATACCAGTACTCTACAGTCTCTTCTAGAAGACAGAAACAGAGGAACTACTTCCTGACTCATTCTGTGAGGCTAGCACCATCCTAATACCAAAACCAGACAAAGACATTACAATTAAAAACAAACTACAGGCCATTAACCTCTCATTAACATAGATAAAAATATTAGAAAATTGAATCAAATATGTATAGAAATAATTATATACCACAACCAAGTAGGCTTTATCTCAGGTATGCAAGAGTGGTTCAACATTCAAAAATGAGTTAACGTAATCTATTACATCAACAAGCTGAAAAAGAAAACTCACATGATCATATTAATAGATGCAGAAAAAGCATTTGACGAAATTTAACATCCATCAATGATAGAAACTCTTAGTAAACCAAGAGTAGAAGGAAACTTCCTCAACTTCGTAAAGAATATCTATAAAAACCCTACAATCATACCTGGTAGTGAAAAGCTCAAAGCTTTCCCACTAACACCACGAACAAGGCAAGGATGTCCTTTGAACCACTCCTTTTCAGTACTGTACTGGAAAAGTCCTATCTAATGCAATAAGACAAGAAAAGGAAATAAAAGGTAAACAGATTGGGAAGGAAGAAATAAAACTGTCTTTGTTTGCTAATAACATGATTATTTATGTAGAAAATCTAAAAGAATAAAAAATTCCTGGAAGTAATAAGCAATTATAGCAAGATTTCAGGATACAAGGTTAATATATAAAAGCCAATTGCTTTCCTACATACTAGCAACAAACAACTGGAATTTGAAATTAAAAACACAATGCCATTTAAATTAGCACCCCAGGCTGGGCACAGTGGCTTATAGAACACCAACACTTTGGGAGGCTGAGGTGAGAGGATCACTTGAGGCCAGGAGTTTGAGACCAACCTGGGCAACACAGCAAGACCCCATCTGATACAGTTTGGGTTTGTGTCCCTGTCCAAATTTCATGTCAAATTGTAATCACCAATATTGGAGGAGGTGACTGAATCATGGGGGCAGACTTCCCTCTTACTGTTCTCATGATATTGAGTGAATTCTCACGAGACCTGGTTGTTTAAAAGTGTATAGCACCTCCCCCTCCTCTCTTTCTTCCTCCTGCTGCAGCCATGTAAGACATGCCTGCTTCCCCTTCTGCCATGACTGTAAGTTTCCTGAGGCCTCCCCAGCATGTTTCCTGTAGAGCCTGTAGAACCATGAGCCAATTAAACCTCTTTTCTTATAAATTACCTAGTCTCAGATAGTTCTTTATAGCAATGAGAGAACAGACTAAATACATCATCCCTACAAAAATAAGTAACTAATAAAAAATAAATTAGTTGGGTGTGGTGGTACATACCTGTAGTCCTAGCTACTTGGAAAGATGGCTTGAGGCTGCAGAGAGCTATGATTGAGCCACCACACTCCAGCCTGGACTACTGCACCTCAGCCTATGTGACAGCAAGGCCCTGTCTCTAAACAAATAAGCACCCCAATAAAATACTTAGGTATAAATCTAACAAAATATGCACAAGATCTATATGAGGAAAACTGTGAAACTCTGATGACATTTAAAAACTAAATAATGGAGAGATATTTCATGTTTGTGAATAGGAAGGCTCACTATTGTCAAGATGTCAGTTCTTCTCAACCTGATCTACAAATTCAATGCAGTCCCAGTCAAAACCATAGCAAGTTATTTTGTAAATATTAACAAACTGGTTCAAAGTATATATGGAGAGGCAAAAGACCCAGAATGTCCAACATAATACTCAAAGTGAAGAGCAAAGTTGGAGGACTGACATTACCTGACTTCAAGATTTACTATAGAGCTACAGTAAACAAAACAATGTCTTATTGGTGAATAGATCCACGGAATGGAACAGAAAACCCAGAAATAGACCCATACAAATATAGTCAACGGATGTTTGACAAACGAGCAAAGGCAGCACAATAGGAATAACTGGACACACACACACACACACACACACACACACACACACACACACACACACACACACACAGTAAGAGAGAGAGAGATTTATGAATAGAATGCTGTCCCAAAATGGATCACAGACCTAAATGTAAAATATAAAACTATAAAAATCCTGGAAAATAGCACAGGAGAAAGAACACCTAGATGATCTTGGGTTTGATGATAACTTTTTATATTACAACACCAAAGGCACAGTCTATGAAAGAAAGAATTGACAAGCTGGACTTCAATCAAATGTGTGTTTTCTACTTTGCTAAAGACACTATCAAGAGAATTAAAAGACAAGTCACAGACTAGGAATAAATCTTGGCAAAAGATACATCTTACAAAGGATTACTGTGTAAATACACAAATAAATATATTCTTAAAACTCAATAGCAACCTGATTAAAGAATGGCCCAAAGACCTTAAAAGACATCTCACCAAAAAAGACAGATGTCAAAGATGCACATGAGAAGATGCCCCACATCCTGTGTCATCAGGAAAATGCAAATTAAAACAGTGAGACAACGCTACACACATATTAGAATGGCCAAAATCCAGACACTGACAACATCAAATGCTGACAGGGATGAGAAGCAACAGGAACTTTCATTCATTGGTGGTGGGAATGCTAAATGGTACAGCCACTTTGGAAGACAGTTTGGTGATTTCTTATACAAATCAACACACTTTTACCATGTGATCCAGCAACTGTGCTCCTTGGTATCTACCCAAAAGAGCTGAAAAATATGTCCACACAAAAACCAGGAAATAAATATTTATAGCAGTTTTATTCATAATTGCCCAAAGCTGGAAGCAACCAAGACAT